TTGAAATATCTTTTACATAACTTGTAGAAAAGGAAGAGACAAAACTACTTAGCATGCTCTCAGGCAGCTAATTGGAAATTGGTAACTCACACAGATATTAAGCTGTTCTCATGGTTTTATCTGAGGGTGGCAGTCATGGAAGCTCCCATGGTTATTTTTCATATTTTCTAAATGTCCTTTATCTAAAAGATGGTTGTTTTGCAATGCTCCACAGCTGCTTTTCTAACAGACATGCAACTTATTTACTATCAGCACACAGCAACACTCTAACTTTTCAAAGCTTCAGGTACGATGCACTTTATTTCAATTTGGTTTGAAAAGAATTTTAGAAGTGCAAAGCAGCTTTCATTTTGCAAATGTCAATCATGTATTCTCTTGGATTCTCTACTTCAAGGACTTGACCTTGGTGAGGTACTTCATGTTTCCCATAACTCAAGACCACTGAAAATATCATGCTGGTCCAAATCACTGCTGTCAGCCAGTCAGGTAGAATCCAGATTTAGGGTTTTTCTAACCGTAACACTATGCTACTGAATGGACCCAGGCCTACATGTAAGATTCTACTTAGATTGCTTATTATTCTGGTGTTATCTTTTCTCTTTGAACCTACGTTGACACTTGATGATAAGGCCTTGATTCTGACTAGATTTTAAGCTGCTAGCAAATATTTTATCTTTCAGGTATATCTACATATTAAGTTGTGCATGATATATTCCTGTGTCTAGGGAGGGTGGGGGTTTTATACCACATGAAAGTGCTTAGAAGAGAACAATATTGGGAGCCTTGTTTTTATCAGTCTGTCTTATTCCCTTTAGACAATGCCTGTCACTGAACCTAAGTTTGCCATTATGGTTTGGCAGCCTAAACAATGAGGCCCAGCTCATCCATTTGTCTCTACCTTCTAATGCTAGAGTTATAGGTACACATGACTGTACCATTTTGTTTTCATGGAAATGCTGAGGATCTGAACTCAGGACCTCACATTTGTGTAAGCACTCTTATCACTGAATCATCTTCCTAGCAGTATAGTAAGTTTTCTAATTGGGTGAGAAGAATTATGCAACTTTGCAGAATAATTAGCAACTAAACGTTCAGCTTATTGATACTGATTTAAACTTTCATAAAAGAAACTAAAATGTTTATTAATTTGTAGAGAAAATCATATCTAAAGTAAGCTTTATGTTTAATTCATTTTAAGTAATATGGAAGAAATTATGAGACACAAATGAATATTTGAATACAAAGATAAATTTTGCCCTATTCAAATTATCTATAATGGATTAAAATAAAATTTAAATTAAATATAATTTATTTATCCACACTGTCATACACCAGGACTATACTGAATTCTTTGATTCACTCATATAACATTTAATGAACGTCTTTTTTGTGAAGCACTATATTTGATCCTGGAGCTTTAAAAAATGATATTCACAGGCATGCTTTTGACTTAGTCCAGGCATTTCTGCAGCTGAAATTGCTAAAGTCTTGTTTGTAATAGTTAAGTAAAATGTTTATCAATATGAAATACAAATAACTCAATATCAAGAACCTAGTACCTGGATTTCATTAGATAGACTTTATGGTTGATATATTTTACCAACTCATCCCAAACGGTACTCTGAGTGTTAGCCTATGTCCTGCTCTTCTCTATTTCTTCAGACTGCTCTTTTCTTTGCTCACATTTCCCTGCATCCCAGTTAACCTCTTCTGTGCCTTTCCTTCATGCTGCCTAATACGACTATGCTCATTTCTGTCTTCCCGACTTGCATTTACAGTCCATTTTAGGAGCCCCACCCTTCCACTCATACCGCCCCACCCCCTCCTGTGGATGGGAGCACAGTCCCACATTCTCCTGTATTTCCATGGACTCTACTTCCACACTTGGTGAAACTACTGACTCCAGTAGACTATATGATTCTGCGTCAAGATCAGGTGATAAATATTAACCTATAAGTTCCTTTCAAGTTTTAAATCTTTACCACAACTCTCTTTCTGCCTGTTTCCTGGATAAGAGGGATGTCTCCTGTCTCCCATACAATATGAACTAGTGGTGAGCATCTCCCACGCACCAGGCTTCTCTAGCATCAATGGTACAGAACTGAACTGTAGGCAAGGTTCTCTGTTGGTGGGACTTACACTCTAGTGGGTGGTTGGGACAGAGAATAAACAAGTAAGCACAAATGCAAGCATGATTTTAGACTGTGAGATGAGTCAGAAAGTCGTTATGAAAGGTGGTTAGGTAGGTGAGCCAGAAGGTGAAGAATGCGGTGAAGGCTCCTCCTTCAAGGGCAGCAGGAGGAAGGGAAGGCTAGCTATTAGAACAGCAGGAGGTAGGTGTGGGAACCTGGAAGCAGGAAAGAGTGGCATACCCCAGAAGAGACCGATATCCCATGATTCTACACTCTTGAAGCCAAGGGCTGACGTGGGGTTTCCCTCAGTTGTTACCCTCTGCTGTCAGCAGACAAGACATCAGTCATCTTCTGCATCTTCTGCATACTCTGGCATCTCCAGAGTAGACTTCCTCTAAAAGTCCCTTCTCTCCTGCTTCAAAATGCGAGAGGTGTAAAAAAGGCAGACTGCTTTGACTCCTGCTGGCTTTAATGTCATGTTCCTGGTTAACAGAGGGCTCCCACAGCTGCATGGCCTCACTCAGCTTTGGCAAATGCAGTTTGTGTCTACACTATGATTTTTAGCGTGCTGTCCAAGGTCATCACTGACTTCTCAGTTTCAAATCTGGTGACCTCTCCTCAACCCTCATCTTTCTTGATTTTCTGTTACATTCTTGACAGTCCACTTTCCAAAGACTGTGTCATGAAAATAAATTCTGTACATGGTTCTCCTACCTCAGTGACCCTTTTGTGATGATTACCTCCCAACCTCTGAAACGTCTATGCCTCCTCCATTGTCTGTCTGTCTGCCTCCCCTTCTTCCTTGTTCCTCACCGTCTTCTCATTAGCAGTCTCACTCTCAAAGCCACAACTTCTATGCCTGTGTCTTCCAGGTTCACCCTTTCCTCAGGAAACCAGAAACATCCTTTTAACAGCAGTGAATATGTTCAGGCAGCACTCTCAACCCAGTACATTGCTAACGGAACTCATATGCTCCTCCCTAGCCCTGAGACTTCATCCATGTTTACAAATGATTATGGGGCAAGTTTGCCTTTTACAAGACTCACTGGTGCCCTCTATGCAATGATTCTCAAGCTCTGTTATCACTGAGATGCATTGCTACCTCCTATGCACCTCTCCCAAGCCCTCTCGAGTCTATCTCCTGAACTAGACCAGTTCCCATCAACGCTCTACAGCCATTAAAAGGATGCTGACAGATGATTCTCCTCATGATCCCCACACTTAATTCTCCAGCATCTCCAGTGGCTTCTTGTCACTTACTCAAAGCCATGGAGACCCCAAACTCCCTGAACTATAGTCTAGCCTTATCACCCACTCCTCTTGGGATCATCCTGTGCAATCTGTACTTGGTTTTGTTTTCTCTGGTATTTGTTTTTCTTTTGAATTGGCTCCATATCTGCTAGTCAAAAAATTCCTCAGTATACTTTGCATCTAATTTAAATAGAATTCTTATTCATTTTCCTTGATTTCAACAGAAAATATTTCCTCTAATTTTGCATTTTCACTTAGAGTAGTTATATTCATACATCTACATGTGTTTTTGTTTTATTCCTATTATATCATTATCTTCTAAAATTATCTTTTTGAGGATAACAACCACTGCCCTTTTCTCTTGCTCCAAGTCACCCATCAGCATCCTCTCTACAGTCTCCTGCATCAGCAGTCTGTTATCTGAGTAAGAATACTTCCTAATTCTCAAGGCCCTGTTGAACCAGCATCAGAACATTGCTATTTCCTGCTCCCAGGTTTGCTATCTTCCACTCTCTCATCCCCCACATATAAACTAACAGTAAATCCTGTCAGCTCTACCTTTTAAACATAACCCTGTGAGTTTTTTTTTTTTTTTAAGGAAAATCACAGCTGTTGCTATACTGCCCAGATCTAAGATTGCTCTATTTTAATTATCACAGTCCTTCATGCCTGGTCTCTCCTCTCTTGTGCCCTACAACTAGTCTGTTTTCTTTCTGGAAGGATCCCATTTTACAGGGTTGAGGCACAACCACTGTTCTATTCAAGCATGGCTGCCTCCTCTACCCATGTCATTTGTCACACGACGACAACCTCAGGACCTGGGCTGAGGCCCTGAGGAGTTTTCTCTTGATCCTCTTTGGTCATCATCTGCAGCCACTTTAATGCCCACACTGGTTTTCTAAGAGGCCAGGCACACTTTCAGAGCTATCCTGCTAAGGGTGAAGTATGTTAAAAATCTGCCTTCCGTGTGAATTATGACACTAAGCCATACCCTAGGCTCATACTGTAAAATCTGTGCAGTAATGCCTAGAGTGATTGCATGTACTCTTTCAGGGCTCAACATTACTTGAAAAGGAAAAGGAAAAGAGAAGTAGAAGCCGAGCAAAATTAGATAATTCTTAAATTACCCTTTCCAAGTTCTAGTTCAAAGATCCAGACTGGCAATAATTAAAGAGCTCAAAGAACAATTTACAGTTGATATGATGAACATCAATTCTCTTTCAGAACCTGATTAAATATTCACGCTTAAAAAGGAAATTCTAGATTGTAACTTGAATATAATCCAAGCCAAATGTGTAAATATTATATTGATATTTGTTTAAATAAAATAATGTCACAATGACAACACTACTCTGTAAGGAGTATGGTTTACACTACTCTGTCTTTGCATTTAATTACTATGAAGGGGACCCCTTCCATAGAGTCAAGGTGAGAGTTAGGTAGTTGCTTAGAGCAATTTAGCGGTGCATTGCACAGAGGGAAATATTCCAGCTACTGGTCCAAGTCTGAAGAGTAGATCCATGTCTACCACCTTTCAGAGATGTGAGAGCAGAGCAGGGACAGTGGGCTGTAAATCTGCCTGTCTATAGTCTAAGCAAAGACCCCCCAGCTCCTCACCTTCTCCAGGGTCATCTCTGTCTCGGCGGCGTGCGTCTTCTTCAGCTCCATTTTCATCCTCTCTGATTCAGCCTTCAGCTTGTTGACGGCGGCCTCGTAGTCCCTCGCAGCCCTCTGCTTTTCTTCCTCTCGAAGAAGACCAAGTTCTACCAGCTGCTGTTTACGCTGAGAGTTCACATTAATCAGTTCTTCTCTCAACTTATGAACCTGGGTCTCCATGTCAGCAATAAGCTAGAAGAAACAGGCAGAAGATACAGATTAGAGAAGTCACAAGGGAGCAAATACACAAGGCCAATAGATACATATGTTAAAAGTTCATTGGTCCTTCATGTGCCCACCCAGGATCTTATTGTTTTGTTTGGTTTTTCCAGACAGGGTTTCTCTGTGTAGCCCTGGCTGAACTGGAATTAGCTCTGTAGAGCAGGCTGGCCTTGAACTCAAAGAGATCTGCTGCTTCTGCTTCCTGAGTGCTGGGACCCACCCAGGAACTTCGTTGCTGTCTGCTCTTCTCTCTCACCTCAGAGGAAAATGCCATGTGGAGAAAGAACATTTGCTTACACAGTTTCTTTAAATACCATCACAATGCCTACGTTTACTTGTTCATAATACCTATGTTGTTGGGATCTTACGAGTATTCTTCTGAAACTGGACTTTTTCAAATATTCAACATCAAGTTCTTGGAATTCATCTAATGTCCTTGTGTTCTTGTTTTTGTATCATTGTTTTTGGCTTTCGTTTTGTTATGACCTTACTTCTATTTTCTTAGTTTCTTTTGTATTCCTTCTTCCAATTTCTTACTTGGAATATCTAAACTCATTTTTTATTCTTTCTTTTCTGACTTATAAATCTGAAGTTGTGTTCCATCTGTTTAATTTAGGTATATGAGATTTTTATTATCATTAGTCCAATACACATTGAATTGTATTCTTTCCTTTGACTTGTAAACCATTCAAATGGACTCTCCTTAGCTCTAAAATTCAAGGAATATGTTTCCTAAGGCTGCCCTAACAAAGTACCATAGACTGGGTGCTTTACAACCACACTAATGTGGAGCTAGAGAGAAGGCTCAGCAGTTAAGAGCACTTTACTGCTCTCACAAGACACGCAGGTCTGGTTTCCAGCAAACAGCTTACAACCTTTCATGACTCTAGTCTGAAGGGGGATCCAGCGTCATCCTCTGACCTCTGTGGGCAGCAGGCCTGCACACAGTGTGCACACATACATGCAGGCAAAACACTCATGCATGTAAAATAAATAACTCTTTAAAACACAGGAGAAATACAGTCTCTCCCAGTTCTGGAGGGTAGAAACCTCCAAACCAAGTGCTGTCGGAGTTGCTTGCTTCTGGGACTCTGAAGAGCTCATTCCACTCATCTCTCTGAGATGCTGGTGTCTGCACACTTGGTATTTCTTGCTGTGTAGACGCAGCAGTCTAGCCTCTTCTCTTCTCTACCTTGCCAGGCTCTTCTCTCTCTGGGTATCTGTGCCTCTGTGTGTCTCTGCTTCATAAGGATACTGACCACACTGGAGTCAGGAGTATAGACTGTACTATACCTCCTACCATTAAAAAAATGAGATTATTTAATGGCAAGCTATGTTGCCAGAGTTTTGAAAGCTTCATGAAAGATGGCTAAGACATCAGTCTAAACTTTCTGCATATGTCAAGAGCCACATTAAAAAATGTCCATTGGATCAAATATTTATGCTGAAGTCTATCATTTGCTGATACATGTTAAGTGCAAGCTCTCAGCTGATAATACACATTAAAATCTCTCACCGTGCTGACAAATTTGTCTGGTCTTCTTTGGTAAGTTTCCATGTACAGATTTTGAGATTATAAGGGACATATCTTGTTCACTGGCCTCTTGTTATCAAACAATGACTCTCACATGCTGCTATTATGAAATAATTGCCTTCCTTACTTCCAGTAGGAGTTCTGCCATACCCTCACTTTTGCCTAGGGTTAATGATATGAGTGGCAGCTCTGCAGGTGAGGGCGTTGTTTGGTATTATTTTATTTAATATTTTATTTTAAAGCATTCTGATTCTTCAACTTTTAGATGTATATGTTATAAACGGCATACTGCTTTTCAATTTTCTTTGCAAATCTTAGCAATATTTGTCTTTAAGTATAGCATTTGTCCTATTAGTTTCCGTATACTTAAATATTTGACTTTAAAAGAATATTTTTGTGCTCTTTGTACTCCTTTTGTACATATCATATTTCCCTCTGTTGCCTGAATAAACCCACTTTGTGCCTCCATCACCCTTCCTGTCTTCCCGCACCTGGGAGTCATGTGCTGCACTTCCCACCCGGTCCTCACACTGCACTCAGTGAATACCACTCTGATGCCCTCCACCATGGTTTAAGTTCTTTTAGAGGATTCGCCATCAACCCTTTCAGTGTTGAAGTTTACTGAGGGCCTCTTTCGGTGGAGCTGAAGTACCAGCTGTTAACCCTTCGAAGGGACTTTGGTTCATCTCTGCCCATTTTCTTGGTCTGCGCTTTGTCTCCATTGTTCCTCAGGTTCTTTATTTTCCCTAAGTGTTTCCATGCCTTGTTATTTTGATCAGGCGTATTACCTTCTAAATCTCTGTGGAATCTTTGACAAATCCTGCAAACTTTTCAGTGAACTCAGCTCTTCTGTCTCCATGCCATAGAGAACCTAGAACATTTTCTTCTCACACACCACCTAAAAACTTTCCTTTTTCCTGTTCTTTCATGTTCCCTAATGCCTTTCATATTCCTCACGCACCAGTCTCTACTGTGCTGTTTTCTTCTGCCTCTGATATGTTGTCAGGCCCACGCAGGTCCTAAGACTCACGTGTTGTGCTCTTGTCTTTAGTTTTACTCTTTGTCAAGTATGCTCAGAAACTTTACAGTCTCTTTCACCAAATTACATCCATGTACGTTTTCCTTAATCGGGACACGACTACTGTCCAGAGATGACATGCCAAGCAGCTAAGTCTTGTAGACTTGTTCTATTATTCACAACTTCTGTTTCTTGGCATGTTATCTGTGGGACAAAGTGGGTGTCTACCAATCATGTCATACTAGCATCTCTAGATAACTTTGAGAAGTCTTTCCTCAGTTTCCCCTGATTATTCTGTTAATGGGAATGTAGGCAGCCATTACTGTGAGAATTGGCCTGTATCTCTGAATTTTTCAGGTGTAGACACCCACTCACTGTCAAATACTAAAATATAATTCCTCATTTTCTTTTTGGACACATCCACATGTAGCATAGACTAAACTTGAGCTCACTGGGTAGCCAAAGGCTGGCCTTGAACTCCTAATCTTCCTGCCTCTGCCTTTCAAGGGTGTGTACTCAGACATGAACCAGCACTCCTGGCATAAGATGGAGTATTACTGTTTCTGGTTTGCTGATGTCCAACTAAACTATATACACCATGGACATGACCCCTTGGTATACCAGCATGCTAATGGTCTAAGAGATCCCCTACCCTAAAGAGGCCAAACTTTCATGAATGGTCCCTATATTTCATGAAAGTAGGAAACAAAACAAAACAAATACCACACCAAAAATTTATCTAGTTCAAAAATACCTTCAAAGTGAGAGCTTCCTTTAGTCTTTTGCTTATAGGTTTAGGTTTCTATTTTTATTCAGTGTTTAGTGTCTATCATAATTAATACAAACAGCTCATAGATACAACAAAAAGTTCTTTTTAAAAAGTATACAGAATTTTTAGTACTCTGCAAAGTGAAAGTTTACTGTGGTGATATCTTGCTTGTACAAATACAGCCTGTCTGAAGGTCAGAGAATGGAGCTTGCCATTAGCTTACCATAGATATCTGGAGGTCTGCACAGACAGACAGGATGTGATCTAGCTGGGCAGAAGTAGAATATAAGCAGGGAGAAAGAGGATCTCCCTCTGTTGTCTGCTGAGACAATAAGGACGTAAGGTGTGGCAGTGGCTTGCTCCTTCTCTCTGATCTCTCAGCATTTTCCTCCATATCTGACTCTGGGTTTTTATTACTTAGATCAATTAAGAACTCCATTTACATTTTCGCATCCAATGTGGGGCCCGAACCCAGAAGCCTGAGTTTAAGAGTCTCACGCTGACCTACTGACCCTGCTCCTTTCTCAATCTATTATTTTGAAAGTGTTTGATGAAAACAGAAGGCTGAGGTGATAGTGTCCTCCTTTTTTAATCCTGTCTCTAAAAATGTCAACTTGAAATCACCTTATAAGCATGTATAGGAGGACTTCACATAAAAATCCAGTTTTCATGAATATGTACTAGAAAAGATAAGTCTTTTTCCTTCTGAAAATATATGGCATGTTTAAAGCTTATTTGTTTTCCCCTTTCATAGGGATACACACACACACATACACACACACATAGGCATATCAACAGATAGTAACATCAATTGCTTTTGAAAATAGTCTCTTTGTCCCTTGTTTTATGATTCCTCCAATCTTAATAATTAAAATAACAAATAGTAATTTAATTAAATTGAGAATGGATGAGACACTAAGATTGGACAGGCAAACAGAAACACTAGACATGCTTCTAGAGACAAAAGATTTTAAAAAGCTCCCTGATCTCCAGGTGACAGAGCAGAACTGGCTGTCTTGCTCAGTTAACACCATGGAACCCTCAGGAAGCATGGCTGCAAAGCTCCAGATCAAAAACTACCTTTAAAGCAACAAAAAAAACTCTGAGAAGCTCCCAAGTGGAATAAAGGCACTCCCAACAAAAAAACAGTGTGTGTGTGGAAAAATATGGCAGGGAGCTGATGTGAGCCTTTTTGGCAAGTGCCTCTTCAGTTGCCAGGAGACAATCAACTCATTGATTTGTCTTACTGACAATTGATAATCACATGATAAATTTGTGTCAAAGCTATTTGGCTTTAGGGTACATCGCCAAAGTTATTTGCACTACAGATACAATAATGTGTCCCTCTCCCATCAAATTGCACTAGAGAAATAGCTAATCCACTTCCGATATGAGCCACAGTGTGCATATGCACAATTCACTCCGCACCTTCCAGGTGCTGCACTGCACTGTACATTCTATTAGCTGACTTGGTATGTGATGTTGAATTAGAGAAAGGAGTATTTAATTGCCGGCAGTATGGGCACACACACTGACTTAAGTTTAATCGATTTTCAAAAAGAAAATCTGTCCTGAAAATGCATCAATCAGTTGCAAAAGAAATGAAATGGTAATGAGAACTTAAGGGTGAGGGCTTCACTTATGGTGCA